ATTGCAATAAATCAGAGGCCATGAACAGGCAACTGTACAAGCCTATGCATATAACAATAAATATATTTATATATTTGTATTTGCTCGCCTTTCCCTGTTTATGCAGTGTCGCCTTGTGAAATTTATGGAGTACGCACATGCGACATCAAACACCCGCCTTGGATGCTAGGCTCTCTCATCTGGCTGGAGTCCAATCGCCATTGAGAGCTGCAATGGAGCCTTCGCAGTGCCCTTGTCACGAAAACATTATCGAAATTGAATCACTTGAGCAATTTGTAACGCAAACCACCCCAGCACAGACACATAGACATAGAGTGCGTGTATGTATTGTAGTATATATAGTTAGTCAATTCTAGCAGGGGGAGAGAGAGGCTGTCACAATAACAAGGCAAAATAAACGGAACAGATTTCGGTAGCAGGGTGAAGCTGATGAAACGAGATAAACATAACCAGAAACCAAGAAAAAAAAAAAAAAAAAAGTTAGAGTGTGCTAGTGAGGCGTGCTTGACTAGGGAATACCCTGTATATATAGATGGGAAGAAAGACAAAAGTCAGGCAGATCTTCAGTAGGATAATACCGATAGAGAATTTGTTACATACACTGTCAAAAAAATTCCAATTTAATCTGAGTTTCTATTTCCAATGGTTTCAGGCTATATCAAATATAAGTGACTTAGTTGGGAATGCTTGACTGGGAGATGCCCTGAATCCAGCAAAGAGTTTCCATTAACTATAAGGCGGGCATGGTTAGATCTAGCTAACACCTTGAGTATGATCCAGAGAGTATGATCAAGAATATATGTATAAGCCTATATTCTGCTTTAATTTATATGATCAAGTGTATGTAGTATAGTCGGGAGTGTTCGACTGGGCTACGTTTTAGGCGAGTATGGGTAGATATAGATTCAGCTTGTTCCCTGCTCAAGAACATGCTTCAAGCCACCTGCCACGCCTCCTGCTGCCTGCTGCTGTCACCTACATTCACTTTCACAAAGTCAATATACCCTGCATTACCATTCACAATGGACTCAGAGCACAAAAATGTAAACATACGCTGTTTATTCTAAGCTCTGGCCCCTTTTTTGGGAATTCAACTTTCTATTTGCACTGCATCAATTTTTGAGTAAGTGAAGCAGAGAAAGGAAAACAAAAAGAATCAAATAAAGTAAATGAAATTACCGGCACGCTATAAGGACATCGTTTCATGCCTCCTGCTGGGCCTGCCTGTTGAGTAATGTGACGAACGCACGCGTCTCGAATACCAAAAGGAAACCTGAATTTAACCCCGAGGAGCAGCTCGGCAGCACGGCAGCAGCTGCTGCAGTAGCGAAAGGGCTGGCAAACGACTTGAATTCGGCATTTCTTGTGGGCGCAGGCCATCTGGACGGAGATCCTGGTCGACTTGTTCACGCTGACTGCACTAAATCCAGCTGCCACGCCCAGTTGTTTTATTGTGACAACCCCCCCCGGCGCCTCCTCCCCCCATGTTAGTACTGCGCCGTTTATTTATCCCATTTGGTGGTCTGTAAAGTCGTTGCTTATCAGCAGCTAAGTCCTGCAGTAACTCAAACGTAAACAAATGCAACCCTTGGGCTCTCTCTCTCTCTCTCTCTCTCCTTCTCAGGAGCTGTCCTCAGCATATTTATGGGCTTCGTTCGGCAAATGGCAAAGAACAAAAGCCACTTTAATTACTTTGCTTTCCATGGGGCTTGACTTTATGAGTCCCTCTTTCATATATATTTTATTTATATGTTTGTCTTTGATTCATTTAAATAAGCAAACAAAAGGAATATTATAAACTGTTTTATGGATATCATAACATTGCGTTGAGGATGGGCTGAGGTATGCAAATTTTCTATATAGATAAATGACTCCAGCTATTTGGTTCTATGGCATCATAAAATCATCATGGATATTCAAGTATATTCGAAATATAAAATGTAAATATATTTTGCCACGCCCACAATGGGCGTTGATAGATGGGTATTGGCTATGTTTAAAATACTACTATTAAATTTTTGATAATCATCATCAATAAGTACAAAAGTTAAGTGTTTTTTATGTCTGGGCGGGGCTGATCATTACAGAGGGTGTTAGCTCGAATTTTGAGTGGGCGTGTCTTAGGAATTGTGAATTCATATGTTTGTACATACATATATTGGCAGTCATGGACAAGTGTCATTCAGATAGATGAATGAATGAGAGAAGAAGAATATAAAAGCGAGTATTTAGCAGTCCTGATTGGTTATAAGCAAATGGAATCTAATTTTTATATATTTAATAGTTTTTAAGATAAAATAGAGTTTAAAGAACTTAAGTGCCAAAAATTAAATTACAAAAAAAAAATTATTTTGTTTTCTTATGTTTCCTTTTTTTTGCGAAAGCGAAAGCTAACAAGCTACTAGGCAAAGCGTTAGCTAGTCATAAACATTTGCCCATATTAATTATAATCATAAACTATAATTTTCACCCAAGAAAAAAGAATCAGTGACCGGAAAGACTGAACTATAGCGGGGCTGTGGGTACAAAAAAGAAAGCGAGTGATGCCATCTCTGCACATACATACATATGTACATATGTATGTRTGTATATATGTAAGTTTATATATTTATATTCATATATATATGTACATATGTACATATACATATATTATTCATCATATAAATACATACATACATACATTCGTAAGCAAATTTTAATCCAACTTCTCAGCTCGTTTCGCTAATTTGGCCATAAAGAAAAAACAACCGTTTCATGTGAAAAGTTGGCCAAAAAAACATGTTGCATGTCACACACAGTCCATAGGTAACCCTCCGGAAAACTTGGTGCCTGCTTGTATCGTAACAGTTGAGCATTTTTGCGTGCAATAAATAAAGTTTTAGTCATATTCTAACTTTGCGTGGGTGCAAAAAAAAAAAAAAAAAAAAAAAAATTGAATTCTAAAATTATAAAATTGTCAGCTTAAAGAATAACAGTTACTTTGGTCTACCAAAATGTGACAAAATTTAATAACAATAGAATATGTCATGCAAATTATTCCCACAGTTTGTTAATAGAATTGTATAATTTATCCACCCACACACACATACACACACACACTCGAAGCTCTTGAACTCTGCATGTTATTTTGGTTTTGATCAAGCACACCTACGCATATAAGACAACAGACTCAAAATGACTTTACATGAAAACACACATACATACATATGTATGTGTGTGTATTTATAGTTATTTATGTGCATATGCTCCGTTGTAAGTTCACATTTGATCATCATCTTTTGCATTTTACACGCAACTCAGTTGCGGAGGTGCCGCAAAAATATCTTGAAATGAAACTGGAATTCGTGGTATTTCTTGTGTGGGTATGTGCTGTGCATGTGCATGCCTGTGTGAGTGTGTGTGTGTTTGTGACTTCAGGCATGGGGCCGCATGTCCGTGTCCATGTTGGCGCATATGACACTTTTCTCTTTTATTGCATTATGACATTTATTTATGATCGCCCTGCCGCCACAAGGCAGCTGTGTTATCGAAAAGGGAGTGTTGAGAAACGTCCTATCAGGTCCTAGCAGGTCTAGAACAGTTTCTACGAAAAGCAATTCACTTTGCATTTGACAATGGCCAGTCAGAAGTGCAAAGAATTCCAATGCAAATCAGTTGTATGTATGTATGTATGTATGTATATAGTTACATATGTTAATATGTGTTATTTATTAAAGCTAACTTGCTATCCAGTTCGCTTCAGTTGAATATGTTATTCATAAGCATTTCTTGTTTTCTAGGTACATTATGATTATACATGCTGATGTTCATACATACGTTATATATGCATGCTGATGTATGTACATATGTATGTATGTATTTGTATATGCCAAATGTCAAATGGATATCCAAGACAGGGGTGCAATCGGACAGCCAAAAGTGGGGCTCAACTGAATCACACCTTTTCTGCCGTTGCTTTTAAAATTGATAAATGAAAACTTGCATGCATGCATACATATACACAATGCATGCATGCATTGTACATACATTTGCATAAGCTTCCATGTGTCAGCCCTGTGGCAGTTGTTGTTCAACAAGATCTGAACGAGCTCTGGGTGTGATATTGCGAATAAATCATGCAAAAGTCACACAAACGCGCACATACACACGCACACCCACACACATACACATGTATAACAGCTGTATAAGCTCTCCGTATTTCGCTTTTGCCATTTACTGTTTTTTTTCTCATAATTGTTTTTCAAGAACAGTTAAAGAGAATCAAAACTTGCGTAATGCAATTAAGTCAGCAGAGAGTGAGCGAGACAGACAGAGACAGAGGGAGAGAGAGAGCCCTTGACATAGTCAATCGTAGAGACAACAATTGAAAAGAGATGGCCAATTGCCGTTGTCTAGCCAGACCGAAGCCGTAGCGCAAAACAATTTAAATTCATTCAAAAAGTCGTAAACCTAATTACTGCAGCAATTTAAGTATACTACTACTCATACTACTCTCTGATTAAGTGGCAGAAGCGAACTCATCTCAAATGATATTCAGTGTCAATGTAAAGTGCGGGAGGGAGCGGAAGACAGTTATCATTGTGCACAATAAAGTAAATACACTTGTATGCGCATGTGTGTGTGTGTGCGTGTATGTGTTAACTGTCGCGAAAACAATTACTAAGAAAACACACACTATCAAGCGTGAATAATTATAGTGAATAGTGTGTATTCATTCTGAAATTATGTCACGGTATCTTGAGGTTATATGTACATATGTATGTATGTAAGTATATTTATTTCTATGTTTGTATGTGCATATATTGTAAGATATTCTTTATGCATTACCTAACAATTCTGATGCGACCCACTTTTCTATGGTTAATAAACTTGATCGATCTTTGCCTTACTACTGAGTATCTTCCATATAGACATTACAATAAAAATCAAGCACACTCTGTTGGCTCATTAGGATATTCGATTTAAGTAAGCTGTGCTTTGTTTTATTTTGTTCAGTATTTATATTATATTCAAGGAGAGGAATCGGTACTCAAAAAACAAGTTAGAATTTAAATATTTGGCCTAATCATAATTCGTAATTTGTAAATCGTAAATCGTACATCGTAAATCGTAATCATGCTTGCGTCTCTGAACCGATTCTTTCCTCGAATGAGGCTACGTCGCAATGTACAGCTGATCTCCAAGATGGACATCTTTTGCCATCTAGTTCTGGTCATTTGCTTGCCCGTTTCATTGCTATACGAGTTCATAGCAGTGATACCCAAGTACCATTCACCTGGAGGATATGCCTATGCTCTAATAGTTACATGCGTTCTCTTGCTCTATATAAACGTCATGGCTAATATGATCGCCTGCATGATAGTCGATATATCAGTTGATTGTGAGTATTTAGATGTTGGAGAATTTATTGTATAAATGGCATTGCTTTTCTATATAGGTGATCGCATCAAATCTTTTGACGTTAATGATGAGTGCGTGAATTGGCGACATTGTAAGATCTGTAATGCTCTAGCACCGCCCAGATCCTGGCACTGTGCCACCTGTGGAACCTGCATTTTGACACGCGATCATCACTGCAATTTCACCGGCTGTTGTATTGGCCATCAAAATTACCGCTATTTCACCTGTTTCCTGCTCTATTCGTTTGTTTTATCGAGTCTCCTGATGTTCTACAACCTAAAGTATTTCATCTGGTCGATGGGTCAGCTGAAATACCATACCCACTTCTCAGATATGACGTTCCTTCAGATTCTACACAATTCTGTCTTCACTCTGAATCTAATCTATCAAATCTTTTCGACCGGCATGATCATCCTGCACGCCCCCATTGTGCTGAAGGGCGAGCTGATCGGCGAGCGTAACCTGAAGGACAAGCACAACTACGATGCTGGCATCTATTACAATCTGCGAGGTATTTTCGGACAGCACATGCATGTCGCTTGGATATTTCCCTTGTTCGCGAGCCAATTGCCTGGCGATGGCTACAACTGGAAATTGACCACAAAAGATAAGTCAACGGAAACCATCGCGACAATTCGCAGCCGTCCTACCGTCTAATCGCTCGCCAATCGCCCATCGTATATATTTAATTTCAATGCAAAAAATTCATAGTTTAAATCGAGTCGCATCGTTATTGGAAACAATTTTTAAATTTTAGAATTTTCATATCAAAATGATTTTGTATGGGCTAAAGAAGCTATAAATAAAGATTTGCGTGAATTCATTTCAATTTGAGTTTCGATACTCTGGAACATCAACTAACTTGGCTGAGAACAGTCCGTTTATGGGCCTTAACTGCATTTGCATTGAGCATCGTGATTTAACGGATTTGGTACGTGTTGTCTGGCTCCATTCGAGTTGGGTCTGCGGTCAAGTCGAGAGGCCCTAAAGTGTAAATTGGCCATGTCCAGCGCTAATGGATCGACGCACGCCAGCGCAAAAGGAAAATGGACAAAATTGAAATGGAAATACCGCTTATGGACACAGCGAGCGAGCGAACGAGCGAGCGAGCGCAGAGCCCAACATAAATGGCAATGAATTGCCTGTAATCGTGCAGGAAAAATACCATGGAAAACTTGTTCAACACGAAAACACGCGCCAAAACAATTCCCAATGCGACGAGAAAGTTGACGAGGCACCAACAACAACCAACAGGCAATAGGCAACAGCAACTACTAAAGAGCCTGATCGAGCCAACAGATGCTAAGAGTGTGAATGGCTATTAGAAGACTGTAAAAGAGGAGAGTTTTATTACTTTTTTAATCTAAAAGTTTCAAAATTTATACTAAAATTTTATATATTATTTTGAAATATATTCTATATTTTAAAAAAAGTTTTGTTTTAATATTTTTTTTTATAAAGATATATATTTTCTAAA